CCAGGTGAACTTTCTGTAGTCCAGGTGAACTTTCTGTAGTCCAGGTGTACTTTCTATAGTCCAGGTGAACTTTCTATAGTCCAGGTGAACTTTCTGTAGTCCAGGTGAACTTTCTGTAGTCCAGGTGTACTTTCTATAGTCCAGGTGAACTTTCTATAGTCCAGGTGAACTTTCTGTAGTCCAGGTGAACTTTCTGTAGTCCAGGTGAACTTTCTATAGTCCAGGTGAACTTTCTGTAGTCCAGGTGTACTTTCTATAGTCCAGGTGAACTTTCTATAGTCCAGGTGTACTTTCTGTAGTCCAGGTGTACTTTCTATAGTCCAGGTGTACTTTCTGTAGGAGGAAAGACAAAAACATGTTAAGAAAGAAATAATTACAAACAGGTTGAGTAGAGCAAGTAAAGACAGAAGCAGAGAGGACGTGGTCAATTTGTCCTCCAGCAGTCTAAGCCTATAGCAGCATAACTAAGGGATAGCTCACGAAACCCAAGCTAACCTTAACTATAGGATTTATCAAAAAGAAAAGTCTTAAAACTGGACCATGTGTCAGCCTCACGGACAGAAACTGGAAGTTGGTTCCACAAGAGAGGAGCCTGAGAACTGAAAGATCTTCCTCCCATTCTGCTTTTGGAAACTCTAGGAACCACGAGTAAACCTGCAGTCTGAGAGTGAAGTGCTCTGTTAGGAAAATATGGAACAATAAGATCTGTAATATAAGATGGAGCTAGGTTGTTGAGGGCTTTGTAGGTTAGAAGTAAGATTTTGGATTATATTCTGGATTTGACAGGGAGCCAATGGAGAGAAGCTAAAACTGGAGAGAGAAGATCTCTCCCAGTAACTCCAGTTAAGACTCTGGCAGCAGCATTTTGGATCAACTGAAGACGTTTTAAAGAAGTATTTGGACACCCAGATAATAAACCATTGCAATAGTCCAGTCTAGACGTGACAAATGCATGGACCAGTTTTTCTGCATCATCTTTAGATCAGATGTTTCTAATGTTAGTGATATTACGCAGGTGGAAGAAGGAGGTTCTAGTAACGTTTTTAATGTGGGGGATAAAAGACATGTCCTGATCAAAAATAACACCAAGATTTTTAACATTAGAGCTGGAGGACAGATTAATGCATCTAAGGAGGGAGAAAGACTGAAACATTCATTCCTAAGGTGCTCAGGTCCAAAAACCAAAACCTCAGTCTTGTCTGTTCAACAGGAGAAAATTAAGGGTCATCCAGGTTTTTATGTCTTTAAGACATGCTTTTAGTCTAAGTAGCTGATTGGATTCATTGGGTTTAATGGACAAATATAATTGTGTATCATCAGCATAACAATGAAAATTTATCCCATGTTGTTTAATAATTTTACCTAATGGAAGCATATGTAAGGTAAAGAGTATTGGCCCAAGCACTGAGCCCTGAAGAACTCCATGACTAACTTTGGTGTATGAAGAAGATTTATTAAACTATTTTAGAGCCTTTCCTGTAATTCAAATCTCTGCAATATATTGTGATCAACTGTATCAAATGCAGCATTGAGGTCTAACAGGACCAGTGTAGTCGAAGAAGACAAAGTATTGTGGACTTCAGAAAGAGCAAACTCACCTACACCCCCCTGAACATAAGAGGATCTGCAGTGGAAGTGGTCTCCAACTACAAGTACTTGGGTGTGCACCTGAACAACAACCTCAGCTGGAGCAACAACACCACCAGCCTGATCAAGAAAGCTCATCAGAGACTCTACTTCCTCAGGCGGCTGAGGCGAGCTGGTCTGGAAGCTCAGTCCTCACCTCCTTCTACAGGTGTGCAGTGGAGAGCATCCTGTGCTCCAGCATCAACGTGTGGCATGGAGGCTGCACAGCTGCAGAAAGAAAAGCTCTGCAGAGAGTCGTGAAGGCTGCACAGAAGATGTTGGAGTCAGTCTCCCCACCATCACAGACATCTACACCTCCAGATGCAGGAAGAGGGCCACCTGCATCATGAAGGACCCCACTCACCCAGCACACACACTTTTTGCCCCACTCCCCTCAGGAAGGAGGTTGAGGAGCATTAAGTGTAGAACCACTAGACTGAGGAACAGCTTCTACCCTGAGGCTGTTAGACTCATGAATCTCTAACCAGAATAATCACTGTGAAAAATCACATCATGTTGCTGCTGATCTGTTTCATGTTGCTGCTGATCTGTTTCATGTTGCTACTGATCTGTTTCATGTTGCTGCTGATCTGTTTCACGTTGCTGCTGATCTGTTTCATGTTGCTGCTGATCTGTCTCATGTTGCTGTGTCCATTCATGCTCATCTGCTCACACAGACTCATGTTCGTGCTGCTGTTTGACGTAATGTTTTTATGTTGTTAGTGCTTAGTGTATATTTAGTTGATGTTTTTCTTAGTTCATATCTTAGATGTTCTCATTGTTTTTCTTTTACATTTTATTGTTGGATGTAACTGGGACCCTGTGTACATCATCTCGTTCCACCACATGTACCACATAAGATGCAAATGACAAATAAATCTCTGACCTGACACAGTTTGTTTGTTTCTGAAACACCGGACTTCATTAACTGTTCTTTTGCTGTTATTTGAGAAAGCCTCTCGTCTTGTATTTGTGTTAAGAACAGATTAACGTCTGCAAAGAACAAGCGCTCCCTAATCTAATTACTCCTGGAGAACTTGGAGGAACTGTGACCTCATCTTGGGAAACACCAACACGAGCCAGGAAACTGTGACGGCACCACGGACGTTACACAACGCCTTCTTAAAGCAGCGCTCTGCAGGAACTCTGCTGCTTGTATTAAAGACAGGAAACCGTTTTCCAATCAGCTGGTTGATGAAAACCATCCAGACATGACTGAGTCCAAAACAGACGAGGAGCAACCTGATGGGACAAAAACGTTCTTTAGAAATCACTGTCAAACTTTATCCGAAGAACTTTTTGACAGAATAGTTTTAATTATTTAGTAAAAGTTGTTAAAGCTAGTCCATTTTATGTTGTTTGACAGCAGAACCTCACCCAGCAGCCTCTGTGGGACTTTTATCAGTCTTTCTCATGGCCGTGGAGTTTTGGCCCGATCTTCTTTCCAACATTGCTTTCAGTTCTTTGAGGTTTCTGATCGGCTCTTTGAAGATTTCATGTTGAGGTTCTTGACCTGTTCTGTTGTTGGTCAGTTGCTGTGTTTGGGATCGTGGTTTGTCGGACCCAGTTTGGAAGTGTGGCCTGTAGAGTGTGAGATGGAGCTCATTTCTCTGAGCATTGAAGTGATCGGGCTAATAATACTCAGGCTGGCAGCTTGGCAGTCAGCGCTTCAGTAATTAGAATGTAACTTCAACTTCTCAGCAAAGCAAACAGAATTTCTTCCCATCTGTACAGATCTGTCCTATAAGAATAAAACTAAATATGTTTTTGGTTGTGTCTCCTCAGGTATATCTGAGAGCAGTCAACAGGCTGTGGATAACATAAAAGGCCTGAAGAGGAAGAAGTTTGTTGCAGAGAATCAGCTGAAAAAGATCCCCAAATCTCCAGTGAAGAAGCCTCTGCAGTGTAAACTGTGTGAAGCTGCTCTGCAGGACACGTCCTCCAAAGAACTCACAACTTCCTGCTCTTCTTCCTCCAACAGTCCTTCCCACAATCCTTTATCCTCAGCCAGCAGGGACGAAGATCCACAACATGTTCAAGCAGCTGCAGCATCCCCCAATGAGGGGTCCTGTTCTCCAGATGCTGAGAGGGTGAAGCAGGAGAACTTGTCTTCTGGATCACATGAGGAGAGTTCTCAGGTTACAGCTAAAGAACTTCCACCTAAAGGCAGTAAGAGCCCAGAGCGCAGCTTTGAAGGAGATCCTTACCACGGCAGTGCTGCTCTGGATGTTCTGCTGAAGGCTATGGAGCCTGACTTCAGCACCCTGACAGAGAGGAAACACCCCTTGCAGGTTGCAGCCGTCGGTAAACCAGCAGCTGCTCTTTGTGTTCAGCCCAGCAGGGAGATAACTGCGCTGCCGGCTGTGAACGTCAACCTACCGACTCAACCATCCCACATGCAGACGTATTACATCGACAAACAAGGAAACTTTATTGGCATTACAGCAGCGTTGCAGGGAAACTTACAAACCACACAAGGTACCTCTTCACGTGTCACACCACAGTTCCTGCCAAGTGTTTCAAATGCTGAAAAGTCCAGCTTGCACCTGAACTTTAACACTGGACCATCAGCACCTTCAGGCTCCAACACATTGCCCCAAAGCCAACCACCAGTAGTGCACACATGCCAGTCCCTTTCTGCCAGTGTTCCCAGCACCGTCCAGGTCCCAGTAACACCGGGTGCAAATCAAATGCAGGTGACCACAGTCATGAACTTTGGTGCTGAGCAAATCTCCAAAGACCAAAAGCCCAAAAAGCCAGGAAAATACGTATGCGAGTACTGCAGTCGGGCATGTGCGAAACCCAGCGTGTTACTTAAACACATCAGGTCCCACACCGGAGAACGGCCGTATCCCTGCATCACCTGTGGCTTCTCATTCAAAACCAAGAGCAATCTATACAAGCACAAAAAATCACACGCTCACGCCATAAAGCTGGGACTCATCGCACGCTCTGAGTCTGGAGGACGGTCATTGTCCCAAGAATCAGACCGGGCCGGTACGCACTCAGAAGCAGAAGAAAGCGGCGAAAGCGATGATGAAGGGAGCACCGCTGACTTGGATCCTGACTCCTCACAGAGCAGCACAGCAGCTCCATCTGAAAACAGAAGTGCAGGTACAACCCTCACCGAGATGGACCCTGTCAGATCCTCCCCAGGTCGAAAGACCCAAGAGACAAAAGTCCCGACTGCTCTTCCAAAAGTTGTTGTATACCCAGTTAATGTGTCGCCTCTGAGGGCAGACAGTCCAAGAGTTACAGGTGCCGCACCTGAACAAGCTGCTGCGCAGCGGCAACGAGAGTTCCAGACTGCCAATCTGAGACAAAACATGGTGCTGTCATCTCTGAAGGAGGTAGATGACACAAATCCTTCACTGGACACTGTGAGTGAGGACGAAGACCAGCAGTGCAAGTCTCCTATGTTGGGTGGGCATGCTCAGCTCCAGCGACAACAAGCAACAGACTTCTCTCAGCAGCAGCAGCCCAAATGTCTGCTCAGTCCTCGCAGTTTGGGAAGCACAGATTCTGGCTACTTCTCTCGTTCTGAAAGTGCCGATCAGGTCATGAGCCCCTCAAGTCCTTTTGTAAAGATAACGCCACCGGTAGACACTGATGTTGTCAAGAGTATTCCTCCCAGCGTCGCTCATGTGGTTGCAACAGTGATGCATGTAGCAGTTACGCAAAAGACACGTTCAGCAGAAAAACAAATGCGACCGCCATTGGAGGCCAGCGCACGCTCTTTGGAAGAGCACATTTCAAAACTGATATCTGATAATGAGGCAGTGGTGGACAACAAGCAGTTGGACAGTGTGAAGCCACGGAGGACATCTCTCTCTAGGAGAGGCAGCATAGACTCCCCTAAATCATACATATTCAAAGACTCATTTCAGTTTGACCTAAAACCAATGGGGAGGCGGTCAAGTTCAAGCTCGGACATCCCTAAGTCCCCGTTTACCCCTACAGACAAGTCAAAGCCTGTGTTTCTGCTCTCTGTCCCTGCTCAGTACCCACCAATGGACTGCCTGCCAATAACTAGGAGCAACTCAATGCCAACCACACCAGGACACTCAGTTTTACCCCTCAATGTTCCTCCCATCCCCCACCCTCTGAGGGTTTGTCAATCGTTTGATGAGAAAATTAGCTCCTTGAATGATGAAGTATTCTCATCGGCTCCACCAACTCCAAACCCTGCCATACATTCTCGAACTCTGGTCAGGCAAGTAGCAGTGGAGGACTTTTCCACAAGCGAGGGGCATGGCCTTCCTACAGTTCACTCCATGGATGAGGGCTATCATGGTCTGAACAGTGTTGCAGAGCAGATGCAGCGGAGTAAGTCTTTTGAACACGGTCCGGACAGGAGCAAAAAGCCTCAGCAAAACAAAGGCACGATGTATGAGTGTGAAACATGCCGTAACCGGTACAGAAAGTGGGAGAACTTTGAAGCTCACAAGAAGTTCTACTGTTCTGAACTCCGTGCTCCTAAGAACAGGACAGTAGCTGTTAAAGAAACTGATCAAGAGGTTTTTCACATCAGTGTACAGCAGCCTAACCTTCTGAGAGCAACACCTGGCTCAGGGATTCTGGACCAGCAGTCATCAATCAGGAAGAGGAGGAAAATGAAAAGTGTTGGCGATGAAGATGATCAGTCGCCAACTGACACTATTCCACCATGTTCAGTTAGTTTTGAGTCACCAATAGCTCCAACGAACAGAACCTTTCCTCCACATGCTCTAGTAGTAGACATTCAGCCTAAAAACAACCAGTCAAAGCTAACCCAGATCCAACTTGTTGCACGAGGAATGAATACTGCAGATTCTAGACTGTCACCAATACGAGAGACTCAAATTAGCAGCTCAGTGAAGGGAGACCTGCAGCGGCAGGGCAGTGGGACTTCAGTGATTAGACACACCAACTCACTCAGCAGACCCAACTCATTTGAGACGGACTCAGTTGAGAGGGTCTCTCCTGCTGATGGCACGGAGAAGGATTCTTTAAACAAACACAACAAAGATGGATCAGCAGGCATAACAGACACCTACCAGGAAAAAATATCCCAACCCACCAGTGCTGAAAATGGAAAACAAAAGAATGAGCAAAGCAGCAACGGCACAGTTAGTGCAAACTCCACTCCTGTCCATCAGTCTCGTCTTGTTCGTCAAAGCAACATCCAAGTTCCTGAGATCCTGGTCACAGAGGACTCAGATAGGGAACATGAGACTCAGACTGCCGAGCCAGCCGACAGGCCTATAGACCAGTTCAGCTGGCCTCAGAGAAGCGAGAGTCTGTCCAAGTTACCAGCAGAAAAACTTCCCCCTAAAAAGAAAAGAATTCGGCTAGCTCAGATGGATCAATCCTCTGGTGAGTCCAGCTTTGAGTCAAGTCTTTCCCGGAGCCTCAGTAGGGACAGCAGTCTCTCTCGTTGTTCCAGCATTTCGGCATCTTTCGACAGAGATGAACCATCACGATCGGAGAGTCCATCCAGAGGAGAAGGTCTTGCTAAAATTCCAGATCTTCAGAGTCTTCCACCAAGCTTTAACACCCTTGGAGTGCCCGGAATGATGAGGCGTGCCGCATCGGAGCAGATCACCTGCACGCAACCCTCTGTGGAGATTTCTTGTGATTACCGTAGCAAGTCTTTTGACTGTGGCAATGTCTCTCCTAGTAGATCTCTGTCCCCTGTTGGTCAGTCAAAGATTGGACAAGTATCCCAGGTGCCATTAATTGAGAGGAGGCGGGGCCCATTGGTTCGGCAGATGTCTTTAAAGATTGGCCCAGAGAGTCAACAGCCAGTTCGTAAGGCTGTCATTGCTTCAGATAAACCTTCCATCCCCAACATCAGTTCTTTCACTCAGAACAGATCCCAGCAGATTTACATCGCCAGCAGGTGCCCTGTAACTCAGCCTTTCATCTTACATGGTGCAGAACCACCTCTGCAAAAGAATGAGCAAATGGTGCAATGCATCAATCTGGGAAGCCCAACTCAGCAGCCTCCAGTACACGGTCTTCCACATCCATGGCATCAGACATCAAGGGTTCAGATTTGCCAAAAGACACAACAGCAACTCAGCCAGATCTCAGTTTCTCATGAGAATGCCAAAAACAAACCAGGTGACTCAGATGAAAACTGTTTTGTGCCCAAATATCAACTCCAGTGTCCTCTGAAAACCAGCCAAACATTTTCCTTCTGCACACAGGGAGCTCAGATAGCCTTGCCAATATTAACTATTCCAATCACCAATCCCATTCTGAGCATATCCAAACCCTCAGATATGGGTCAGAACCTCTTTGTTGCTGGTCAGCAGGCCTCCAACATTAAGACTCAGACTGTTGTGTTATCAGGTGAACAGCAACTTGATCAGAGCCAATCAGGTGCTGCCCCACTGCCGCAGATTCTCATCACTCATGAGCAGATGCACCCTTCCTCCTCTTTGTCCAATAAAAGTTGCCAGTTGTCTTCTCACAGCGTGGAGAGCAATGCTCAGACTGCACCACTGGTGAGGAAGGACCACACTCATCATGCAGCAGAGCAGTTTCCTTCTTTCTGCACCCAGAAACTGTCCTCAGTGACACTCTGTCCCCAGCAGGAACCCAGTACTTCTAGTAAACGCATGCTGTCACCGGCCAACAGTTTGGACATTTACATGGAGAAGCACCAGAAACGGGCCAAAGATGAGCATGGAGTGGCCTGTCTGACAGATGGAAGGTCACTCGGTTACTTAAACTCAAAGATGTCTGAGGTGACGCGGCAGCGGAAACTGATGCTCGTCAGGCAGGTCTGCACAACGGAACCAGTGAACGGTCCCATAGAGACTGAGGCGCTGACTCTGCCGGATATCAAAACGAACACTGAGAAGGACTCAGAGGCCACTGACGATGTTAAGCCCATGTCCCCTGATGGTGCTGGGCCTGAAAAAGAGACAGCAACCATTATTCAAGAGGAGGCAAGTCCGGTCCTGAACCCTGCATCTGGAGCTCAGGAGGCCACCATCTCAGCTACTAACACTCTGAAGTCTGAGGAGAAAACCGAGGAGCAGCGATGGACTCTAACCAAATCCCTGATACGGCCTTCCAGTTTCCACATCTGCCAGGCAAAGCTGACCACTTCTGTGTCTGTGGTGAACACCAAGGACACCCACCGCCTATCCTTCCCCAGTCTGAAGACCACCACCACCTTCACGTGGTGTTTCCTGTTGAAGAGGAAGCCTCTGCATGTGCCACAGACTGACAAGAAGACCTCAGCATACATGGCCTGGACAGTCAGTCCCAACAACCCCAACCCCCTTTGTCTGCCCACCAAGGTGGTCATGTCTCTGTTCAACTCCAAGCAAAGCTCCAAGAAGTTCCACTACACCTCCGCCATAAAAACCAGCGGCAAGTCAGACATCTTGTCATACTCAGGCAAACTGAAAAGTGTCATGCTCAAGGTGAGACCGTTAGCATGTTTTTGCCTCATTTCTTAAATCAGATCCATAAACCAATCAATGCTTCCTTCTTCCTGCAGCTTCCAATAAGCCAGACGTCCGAATCACCACAACCCAGAAGAAAACTGCAACCAGAGGCTCAGACCAGCAACGATTCAGACCGGGACATGCCGCCTTCAGCTGAACCACGGAGAGTCAAAATATTTGATGGAGGGTAAGAGTCAACATTTTATTCTTCTATCGTTTCATTAAAGTTTCTGTTCTCACACGCTTCCCTCACAACCTGCAAACCCTCAGATACAAATCTAACGAGGAGTACGTGTACGTCCGCGGTCGTGGACGAGGGAAATACATCTGCGAGGAGTGTGGGATCCGCTGCAAGAAGCCCAGCATGCTGCGCAAACACATCCGAACCCACTCGGACGTGCGGCCGTACCACTGCGTCCACTGCAACTTCTCCTTCAAGACAAAAGGTCAGAGTGTGCAGAGTGTGAAGCTTGCTGGTGTCCAGAGGTCCCGGTCACGTTCTCACTCATGAGCAGTATCATGACGTCCGGCATCACTGTGACAAAAATAAACTAAACCATGCACGAGAAATGTGGCTAAAGGATAAAAATAAAACTTTGCAAAAGAAAGTTACGACGTTACGTCAAATGTAAGTAGAAAGGGAGCGCAGTGATTAACAAATATTCTCAACGAAACGCATCAGATGTTGAAACTACGCCTTCATGTGGTGGTGGAGACGAGTTCAGTTTAATTTGTCCAGTTTATATTTTACTAAACGTCCTTCAACGTTTGCAGAACCAGCGGTGGAGCTGGAGATGCTGAAGAATGAAAATGTTTGTGCTCGACCGTGACGCAACGACGTTCATGACTTTTCCTGAGTAAATCCTAAAACTCCAAAACTAAACGCTCAGAACTTGTCGTCGTGCACATGATGTGCACATGACGTGCACACAGCGATCATTCTAATGACATCAGAGCCAGGGCACGTGCACTGTGTGCACGTGAAGCAGAACATGGACCCAGCGTTCAAATCTCAAAGATCGTCTTTCAATCAGCAGATGAGGAGTTCTCAGTCTGGAGTCAAACTGTTTAAAATAAGTTTTAAGATTTTACAGTTTAAATGTCGGGAAATTGATCAATTTGACTTAAATGTTTTTCACTGTTTATATGAATAAAAACAATATTTTTCTTTATTGATAAAGGTTAAACTTTGACTCTGAGCTCTTGAAGGAGATGTTTAATGTCAGGAATTAATACGAGATTAGAATTTAAATATTCAAATTTAAAACTAGTTTTTGTAACTGTTGGTTTGTGACGCCTGCGGGACCTAAAAGTAAAATCTTACTTCAAACTTTTATCAATGTTTTTCTTCTTTCGGCTGCTCCGTCTTCAGGGGTCGCCACAAAGAACTAACTCTCACCAAGATTTGATGACTTTTACTCCAGATGTTCTTCCAGACTCAACCACAGACACCGAGCTACCACAGCCCTCTGTGTGGAGCGGGGCCTGACATCTAGGGTGCCCGGGGGAGCAGATAGTGGGGGTTAAGTGCCTTGCTCAAGGGCCCAGAGTGGGACAAATGAGGGTGGAGGCAGGTGTGGGTGTTTCATCTTCAACACCAACATTTTTGTTAGTTAGCAGGGGGGATTTGAACCAGCGACCTTCCGATCACATTTGCTTCTCTAACCTCTGCGCCCCCCCAAGCATTGACCAATAAATCCTATGCAAACTTATGCATACAGTAGTCCCTCGCTACGTCGTGATTCGTTTATCACGGACTCGCTCTATCACAGTTTTTCAAAATAAGAGTGGACATGACACAACTGGCTGATTGATGGATGAGCCGCACGATCGGCATGGAATTATTTACAATCAATTATTTTAAATTATTTGGCACCTGCTGCACATTTGTGCAGCCCAGAGCTGCAGGATAAACTTCCTGCTGCAGCTGATCAGCTGTTCTCGTGCAGAGCGGAGAAGTGGGTGTGGCCAAGAGCGCTTGCAGGTGTCTGAGAGTAGCGGAGGCAGAGAGCTGAAATCATGACATTCTGTCTTTTAGAGCGTTTAGAAACATTGTTTAGAATATTGAAAGAGTGTGGGAAGAGTTTACAACGTCTTTATATATATATATGTGTGTGTTTATATATATATAAATATATGTTTATACATACATACATACATACATACATACACACACACACACACACACACACACACACACACACACACACACACAGTATATTAAAATAAACTACTACTTACTACTTGTACTACTATCCCTACTCGGCAGTTTTTCCCTCATCGCGGGTCTTCAGGTACGGATCCCCTGTGATCCAGGATCTGAGCGCTGATGATGCGTACGAGTCTTTAGACTTCAGGAACTGAACCGAGGTCTCGCAGATCTTCAGCTCCAAACGTTCGCCTCTGGTTTGAGCTGCTTCCTGTTTTCAGGCCGTCGAGTTAAAGACGTTCCACCGTCTCAGAATGATTCACCGTTCTTCTGTCGAGCTCGTGTTCCCACGCAGCGCTGCAGAAGTCACGCCGCAGCCCCCGTTCTTTAAAACCGCCGTTACCTTGAGTCCCTTCACGTGAGTCCTTGTGCTGCTGCTGAGCGACTGCTCTCTGTCCGCAGGAAACCTCACCAAGCACATGAAGTCCAAGGCCCACAGCAAGAAGTGCACGGAGATGGGGGTTCCCGAGGGCCTCGTGGAGGACCAGGACGCAGAGGACTCAGGTACGCAGCTCCACACCAGACGTTAGCTGAGATTTAAAATAGACCGGGTCTCTGCAGAACCAGAGTCCGGTTTATGATGAGCAGCTTTTAGCAGGACCTGTGATCATTGGAGCTCTGCTGCTGTCCGGATCAATAGTTTGTCCTCGGTCTGATTGGAAACTCTAAACATGGCTCCTTCCTGTCCTCACCGAGGCCGTGTGGGCGGAGCCTGCACAAGACAGGAAGCTGCTGAGGCAAATGTTAGAGACCGGAGCTGCCTGGAAGGGTTCCTGAGGTCCGAGTTCTGTTTACTCCTCTGCTGAGATGGAGCTCGGGGCAGCATGAAACATCCCTGAACGCAGCACAGAACAAAACTAAACAAGGACCCTGAACGCAGCACAGAACAGAACTAAACAAGG